CTTCAGGCAAAAGCCATAAGCATCTGTGGTAGAAGCATATGTGGACAAGGGTTGGGGGCGATATGTGACATTGAGGGCAGCTGCAAAGCTCTGTGGTTTGTTTATTTTTTTTAATGCCAGGTTCACTTTCCTGTGAGAGTTACACATGAAAAGAGTGTGTACTTACCAACTATATTCTTGACTCTTAACTAAATCAAAGAAGAGCGGTACCTAGAATGGAATCTCCCAACAGTTGCCCTAGGCATCCATTGTTATAACAGGCTGGCACTGAACAACCTAAATATGTACCTTCCTCAGCTGTGTGCTTCATATCGTTGAAGTCTGAGCTGCTCTAATGAAAAACAGATTTGACAGTTAAGCTCTAGCCCAAAGTAAGAAAGGAAGTCACAGAAAGAAGTCCATTATGTCAGAATTACCTCTCTTTCTGTTAGATCCAAAGGGCTAGGACAACAAATTCCACAATCCGTGTATAATTTGGCCCAGAATTAATTAGAATGAAAATATCAACTTTCCCTCCTCAACAAGTTTTAAATGTTTAATCGACCCTATAGAGACATGCTGGAAGATGTGCGGATTTCCTGCCTGCTAATGCTACAATAAAGTTAAATGGCCCAAGATTTCAAAAGAATCTGAGCTATGTTTGGTTTTAGAAGGGGAAGAAGGACAGGAAAAAAAACAATTAGTTATCTTTTAGAGGTAAACATGCACCTGCACAGAAGTGACAAAGGGATGTCATGGGAAATTTGGTGGACAAAGCACCTAGTAACCTTGCCAGAAGCAACTGACTTTGAAAGCGAGCAATAAAGGGTGATTGAGGCACACAGCAGGAAAACATGAATTTCAGGAATTAGAAATAAGGTGCTCTGTTAAGCACAGCCAATATTGCTCACTACAGAGACCATGATGCCACTGCTATTTTTAAGAAGCTACAGACTGTGACGGCTGTGCAGTACAAACCTGCTATATTTTATGACACATTTTGAAAAATATTAAAAATACAACCGTCTCTAGTAGAATATAAAAGGCAGAAAAGCAGACTAGAAATGTTCTAGAGAATGCTTTAACACGTGCTGGGACAATTTGCCCTCCACTTGAGCTCAAGTCAAGAGATGGGGGGAACAGGGAGGAGAGGAGTCTGAACGGCAAAAATCTGAATTAACCATCTGCAATAAACCCCACCTATGGCAGCCTGGATTAGGGATATGCCAGGTAGGTCATCCTTGAGTTCGAAGAAGCATACAGCCATGCCAGAACATGGCACCTGCTTCAAAGCCTTGTTGTTTAAAAAGGAGACATACACATCATTCATTTAAAGAGCATAGCATCCAAAGAACTTTGTACACATTTATTCAGAACTTGACAAAGCTAGTTTTTAGGCCTATATGTTCCACAATCCACCCCACTGGCACACATACACATCATTCATTTAAACAGCACAGCACTTCGTACACATTTATTCAGAGCCTGGTAAAGCTGCCTTTTAGGACTATATGTTCCACAATCCACCCCACTGGCAATGCCAGCAGGTGAGAGATTCCAGGAGTTTTAATTCAGAGGGTAACTGTGCTCCATTTTGATTAATTATCTCAGTAATAATGCCATCTCTTTTTAATCCTAGGAGGCTGCTCTTTAAATTTCTATATTGGCCTTCTGTCTGTACTGACATATTTCAAAAGTGAGCCAACTTTTCAATTTCACCCTCCTCGCTTCTGTCTCCCCTGTTCTCTTCACCGCTTTAAATTTGATACAGCCATGCCCAAGCCTTTTATCTGCAGAACCCCACCCATCACAGTGGGTTTTCCTACTTCGAGAGACAACCCGCCGCTTCAAACTCGGCTCGATCTGTGGTTAATTTCTTCCTCCCTTTCTCATTTCTTTTTCCTTCTGTGTCATATCTAGCTCACTGTGATCACAGAATCATGAAGCTGGAAGGGGCCTATAAGGCCATCAAGTCCAATCCCCTGCTCAGTGCAGGAATGCATCAAGAAATGTATAGCTAGGCATGAATCAGCCCAAATCACACAGTGGGTTGACATCTGAAAGCTGGAACAAGTTGCCTACCTAGATGGAATGCATATCCTTGTTGCTTTGATGTGATTTTTGATCCTTATAAAGAAGGACAGCAATTCCACCATTACGTAAATACTTTGTGAGTAGATCTCAGACTGAGTTAGCACAGCAGGTTCATTTGCCAAAGAAGCTTTTAAACCTCTTATCCGTTTCTGCTAACAAAGAAAATGCAAGACACACAACTATATTAAGTCTATGCAAGAGAAGTAAACATCAAGGTTAATCAGGCTTAGCCAAATAAGCACTGCAACCAAACAACTGTGGCAAGTTAAATAAACATCTGTTATTTAGAAATGTGCGTATGTGCACATTATGTATGCATGTGTATCTAGAGGTATTTAAGGAACTGACATAAGAGCAAGGAATCTAAAGATTCTGCATGGAATTATGGTTTTCAGGATCAGGTAACTAAGAACTAAATATTACCAGTAAATGTTAGATGGGGAAATTAAAAATCCAATTTTAGTCCTAATGAAACAAATGAGACTTTCTACTCACAAATAAGTTAAATTTATTTAAATTGTTCTAGTTGGAACTAAAACTGGATTCAGTCCAAAATCAAAGGTAAAAACCTGCTCCAGTGAAATTTTTTTTGAAGATGACAACAATAACAGTATTCATAGCAAAACAATAAAGAAATCTACCATCAGTCGTCAGAGTGAGAGACAGATATAAGAGAGTAAAATATTTGGATTTCAATTTCATCTGCCATAGACACGAAGCTGTGTCTATTTATACAAAGTGAGGCAGGAAGAGGGAAAATGAAATGAAAAAGTTAGCGTTAAGATAAGTAAGCCGCCCACACGAAGAGAAACCAATTCCACATTGTTTCAGTTCTTTCTAAAATGAAAATACAAGAAAAAGATTCTTTAAAAATGTTTTACCTAGATTGGCATCCAAGGAGAAAGACTGTCCAAAGCAACACATCTTCATTTTCAGGAATCATCATCATCATCATCTTAGAACTGCAGAGCAGGAAGGGACCATTTATGGGTCATCGGGTCCAGTCCCTATCAATGGGGCATCAAGGGGGAATCGAACTCCCAACCTTTGGCCATAGCCAGAGATCGAAACCACTGAGCTATCCAGACCCCTGGCCCGGGATGGGGAACGAAATGGTTCTCCAAGACAACCCCAGCCTCAACCCTGTCCCGGGATGGGGAATGAAATGGTTCTCCAAGACAACCCCAGCCTCTGGAGACCCATATAGCCCCCAACTCCCTTCCTCAGTACCTATGTTTGTCAGCACTTAATCCCAGGCAGAAATTCAGCAGGCAAAGCTTCCTCCACAATCCCTGCATTTTGTCAGCCCTTTCCTCCTGGGCACTTAATCCCAGGCAGAAATTCAACAGGCAAAGCTTCCTCCACAATCCCTGCATCTTTGCTGTCAACACTGGTTGGGACTTCTGCCTAAGCAGCCAAGGTAAAGCCTTCTGGGCCAGGGAAGTGAAGAAGGCAACTTTATCACCAGAAGCGCACGAAATGGTCTGGCTGAAGAATCTCCTGATGGCCTTTCCTCCTGGGCACTTAATCCCAGGCAGAAATTCAACAGGCAAAGCTTCCTCCACAATCCCTGCATCTTTGCTGTCAACACTGGTTGGGACTTCTGCCTAAGCAGCCAAGGTAAAGCCTTCTGGGCCAGGGAAGTGAAGAAGGCAACTTTATCACCAGAAGCGCACGAAATGGTCTGGCTGAAGAATCTCCTGATGGATTTCCATGTCTTTCCTCATTCAGGTGTGCACATTCTCTGAGCATCCTTTCCCGTATTGGGATGTCTAAGCATTTCTGCTCAAAGGACAGAAAGGAGAAACCAAAGCACCAAGCTTTGGGCAGAGAGTTTTGCTGGAAATCTAGATTTGGGCTCATGAAGGTGAACTGTTTTTTTTTTCCAGCAATTGTTAGAGCACGGGAAAGGCCTGGCCTGGTGAGGGGGACCAGGTTCTATCTCCTGTCCACCCATGATGAATCTCCTAGGGTGGCTGACGGCCAAGAAAAATCAAGGATGAGAAGAGCCATGTGTGTCATCTTGAGCTCCTCAGCAGAAGAGCTGGGATATAAATATAGCTAGTAAATATATAACAGATGCAGAATCCATTGCTTTTTGTCTAGTTCCAGAAGTGCTCTCAAAGCAACGTAAAGTTCATTGCTCTATGGCTAGGGAAATTTCTACCTCTCACACAGAGACAGAGACAGACACACAGACACACACACACACACTGAAGACTATGCCTCAAGTTGCCGGTGGTCTGAATTTGCCCGCTTGGCAAATAACAAACCAGTCCGGAGCCTGTTCTCTCACACACTCCTTTCAAATCGTTGAAGAACCTGCAGGAAGCCCTGCATTTTTATCTTCTAGGTTAAGGTGTCAGTCAAATGGCAAAACCTTTTTATACTCTAAAGGGCAAAGCAGCATTTATAAGGCAGGTCCATTCACCTGGCAGGGGTGGGGAGCCCTTTGCCAGGTGCTATTTAATACCAGCAATTGCCGTTATTTAGTTTACATTCCTTTTATTGTTATTTTTTTTTCCAAACTACCATTTGAATTTTCTGCTGATGTCAAAACCTCCCAGGGAATCTCTTTTGAGCTCTCCCTCAGATAGCTGTTTAACTGAGGGACAACAGGATTGTATTCTATATTTATGTGTTTAAAATGCTGTATTACAGGCTTCCTTCCACTGCCAATGGGAAAGCTCTGGAGGGTTTCCCTCCTTCTTTTTCGAATCGTAAAAAGCAAGAGTGACGTCTTTGGAACAGCCTATCCACCAAGAGTGGTCATTCATACCTTCCCAGAGGACGTGCTGCACCTCCGGCACTGGGAGCCGCTGAGTGATAAAACCATAACGCCATAGCCAAAGCACATGCCGATCAGTGGCCAGTTCTGGACAGTGAGTCATGCAGAGTCATAGCAGGCACCGAGCAGCCTTTTCCAAGAGTCAATACCTTGAGCTCAGAGAAAACTTCAGTCAGAGAGACAGCGCACATGGATGCATCCCAACCCATAGCTTAAGAATGGATCCTGCAAAACCTCAAGGGGAAGTGTTGGTGGGTGGAAGAGAGAAAGGGCCCGGGCGTCTCTTCTCAACGCTCAGCCTTGAAAGACTAGGCAGAGGCAAGTGCCGCACCACCGCCAGCCGGCCAGAGAAGAAGTCCTTGCTCATCAGCATCTTCATAAATCACCAAACAAGCGGGTGACTCACCAGCAGGCCCGAAGCCTGAAACCAGATTTTCCAGCAATGACTAACCCATTTTAAAAGGCACACGACTGAAAGCTGACCTGAGGACTTGGCGAAGCCTTAATATAAAACACATAGCCAAGTCTTCCCATTACCCTTTTGTTCAGGCCCATAATGGAATTAAAAGCACCTTGTGACACAACCTGAGGTTTTAAAGGGCTCATAATGACTTGCAAATCCTCCCTGCTCTATGCCTGTGCTTAGTGCTTCCCCAATTAGGTCCTGCGGTGGGTGGAAGGCCAAGGAGGAGCAGGAGGCACGGGGCTGTAATCCAGTTTAAGACCAAGGTGAAGTGAGGAAGACACACGTGGTCGGTAACCTTGGACAGCACGCTCTCCTTCTGCACACCAAGCAGAGCTTAGACTCTGAAATAAAAATCGCTCTTGCTCTTTCAGATAAACGTTATTGCGATCAATACCTAAAATACAAATAACTTTTTTTCTCCAAACCTACTGGTCTATTTTATTTATTTATTTATTTATTTATTTATTTATTTATTTATTTATTTATTTATTTATTTATTTGATTGACTGATTGACTGATTGACTGATTGACTGATTGATTGATTGATTGATTGATACCCCACCCATCTGGCCTATAAGGCTACTCTAGGCGGCTACCACTTCCAACATCCCCAGTCACTGGACAAACCAGTTGGAATTTTAATTTTATTATATGTTATTCCAACATTGTCTGGTAGCTGCTGCCATTTATACAATACATCCCATCGTTCAGTTTCTTTTTGAGACAATTTGTTTACATCATCGACTGAGCTATCCTTAACTATAATCACCAGAGCATCACCTGCCCTATCTGTTAGCTTCATTAGTTACATTTATACCCCATTTCTCTTCCTGTGAGGTCAAGACGATGCACATTAAGACCCCCATACCTGCAGGATCAGTATCTGCTAATTCACACTTATCCACAAATATCCATGAAAATATTAAAACTATTACAAGAAAGATCCTAGAAATACTGTATAGCTTTCTAAAGGTGCAGTTACCAGAAATGGTTACTAGAGGGAGCTAGAGATCATGCTACATATAGCAGTTATTATAATCCACGTTTTTCAGCATCCATGGGGAGGAGTTTGTGTGGAAATGATTCCCTGCAGATATTTGGAGGGGGGGGGGTCCTACTGTATGTAGCTCAGCTCCTCCACATTTTATCCCCTCAGTAACCCTGTGAGGTGAGTCAAGCTGGGGGAAAAAAATCCTGATTAGCCCAAGCTCTCTCAAGGAGCATCCGGGCTAAATGGGGATTAGAATTCGGCTATCATGAGCCCCTGTTTATCTATCACTCTAATCACTGCATCACCCGTTACCCCATCACGTTGTGGGGAGAACCGTTTTGGAAACATACAACTGGAGCGACCCACATGTGCATCGGCTGATCTTCTCCCCCTTTTTTTGGACACCAGTTAAGAAATAAGACAATCACTGACAGAAGAAAAGTCTATTAGGTCAACCAACACCAACAATCGACTAACAGGTCACTGCTGTCACAGAATAGACTAGTATTCATCACCCTCTTATGTTTTAATCTCCCCAGCCCAACAGAGTTGGGAAAATACCTCTATCAATGGGCCTCCTGTACACAAAGCCCAAGTAAAACCAGTTCCCAGATTCTTATCCATAAAAGACATCCCAATCAGTGAACTTAATTTTCCCCCCTCCTCTTCCCTCCACATCCTTTACTCCTTGTGTGTCGTGTCTTAAAATTTTAGATTGTAAACTCAGGAGCAGAAAGTATTACACGTGACCCAACTCGTAGGCCAATCTAGGAGGCTTTTGGCTAATTCATGCATAAATGCATGAATTGTTTTTTTAAAAAATCATTAACTTAAAAAAAAAAGAATAAGACGACATAACCCGGTGAGATCTGGCACATGCAAATCTCATTTGCACACAGAGCAGGCTATGAGTTTGGCAGGATAGAAATGTAAAAAATCATTAACTTAAAAAAAAAAGAATAAGACGACATAACCCGGTGAGATCTGGCACATGCAAATCTCATTTGCACATAGAGCAGGCTATGAGTTTGGCAGGATAGAAATGCAAATAAATAAATAAATAGATAGATAGATAGATAGATAGATAGATAGATAGATAGATAGATAGATAGAGGATGTCTCCGCTGTTTCTGAGCCCAGCTGTCCAAAAGGGAGGTCATTTTAGAGCATCAAATTGAGCACGGAGAAGTCCAAAGAAGCTGTGGCTCCCAACCTTGGGATAACGCAACATTTCCAACAATTAACATTAACAAATTAATATTAGCAAATTAATATTCGATGCATATATCCAACAGTTTGTGACCAGTGCAACTTTCTGACAGCACGATGTCCGAGGTTTCAAGTCAGTGCAGGGAGGAAACACCAAAGCAAGCAGGAAAAGGACAAATAACATAAAAGTATAATTTTCTCCGTAAAAAAATAAATGACTCATCAAGCCAGAAACACAGGAGCTCAGCCAGGCTCTCAAAAATTCATCCATGCCCTCTCCCTCTCCCTCTCTTTTTAATTACACACACTTTTAAGCTGCAGCAAGCCGGCCCTAAAAACTGGATTTTTATAAAATGCCTCGCCAACAAGACAAACTCGTTACCCAGATAAACTGCCTCTGGTTCAATGAGTCAACAATGGCTGCCGCAGGGCTAGTGGAAGCCATTTTGCCACAGTGGATTTTTTAAAAAAAGCAATGATTTTTTAAAAATTCAATTAAAATCACAATTTAATTTTTTTAACGTTTTTTTAAAATTTAAATGGTCCAAAAAAAAATCAGATTCTCCCCACCCCATTTAAATCCACCCTGCATTTTGATACCTGAGGGGAAGGGCAAAATGGCGCCGCTCCTCAACCGCCTCAAATTTATTTATTTATTTATTTAACTTATATGCAACCCACTCTATCCAAAGGTCTCTGGGCAGCTTACAACAATAAAAATACCATTAAAACACAATAAAAAGATATTAAAATACAATTAAAATGCCCCAGGCAGGCGTCCACCTCGTTAGCCAGTGTTTGACTCAATGAGTCGCAGGGCTAGTGGAAGACATTTTGCCACAGTGGATTTTTTTAAAAAAATCAATGATTTTTAAAAAAATCAATTTAAATCACATTTTTTTAAAAAAAATTAATTTAAATGGTCCAAAAAAAATCAGATTCCCCGCACCCCATTTAAATCCACCCTGCATTTTTGACACCCGAGGGGAAGGGCAAAATGGCGCCTCTCCTCAACCGCCTCAAATTTATTTATTTATTTAACTTATATGCCCCCCCCACTCTATCCAAAGGTCTCTGGGCAGCTTACAACAATAAAAATACCATTAAAATACTCTCCCATTCCCTCACTATTTAGTTCTCAAGGGTGGAGAGGAAGGAGGGGGAGCCAAGATGGCGGACGGGCTTCTTCATGAGGCAGGCATAAGCCCTGAGGCACTTTCAGGGCAAACGTCTCTCTCTCTCAAAAATGTCTTCATGGAGGAATATTAAACCTAAAAATCCAAACGAGTTTTGAGAAGAAGTTTCCAAGGAAGCGGGAAACTCTTCCCGTTCCCTCACTATTTAGTTCTCAGAGGATGGAGAGGAAGCCAAGATGGCGGGCGGGCTTCTTCATGAGGCACTTTCAGGGCAAACGTGTCTCTCTCTCTCTCTCTCTCTCTCCCCCCCAATTTAAAAAAACAACACAGTTTAAATGTTTCAGCTGGGAGAGGCACGCCTGAAGCCAGAACCCCAAAATAAAATGGAAAACTTGTGTGAGGAAAAGAAGGGGAAAAAACATCCTGAGTTTCATTCCAAACGTCTCTGTGCTCACAGACTTCCATCATGAGGAGGGAAAAAGACTGGATTTTTTCTTTTTTTTTTTCTTTTCCCCTTAAACTGGAAACAATTACGGGGAGACCTAATAAAATGTATATAATGACACCTAACCTTAAAAAAAACAAACCACAGGATTTCCTCTAAGTAGAGCCCCAGCCTTTCCCCACTTTGCTCTTTGCTGTTTACAACCATTCTCCGACTCAGGGAAGGGAGGGAGAAATAATTCAATTTTAGGGGGAGAAAATATGACGAAAACGAGCCGCCGTGTTCCTGGTGGCCGTTCAGAGCAGCCACCGCAGCAACCAAGGGCCATTAAGGCAACGACACAAGGAATTAAAACAATCAAAAACATGGGATTACACCGGAGACAGCTTTTAGACACATCCCTTCCTTCAAGCCAGCATCAGGAGGGCCCTTCAATTCAAAAGTTCATTAGGGAATCTTAAAAAGCCTAACGAATGTGAAGTAAAGCAGGTAACATGGCTCCAGTTTGAGTCAGGAAAAAGTGAAGAGTTAAAAAAAAAATCCTATCCCTGGGGGGGTTTTCAATGGTTTTATTCCGTTTTTCCCCACTCTGCCACATTTCCTAGCTTCACTGCTGCAAAAGGTGCCTGCAAGTCCATGGCACTCCAGGCTGCGGTGATTTATGGGTTAAAGAAATGTACTCTGCACATGCCCAGAGACACACTCAAGTCCCATCCCATCTCATAGGGTCAATGGCTGACTGCCAGCATTTGAAACCAGTTCCAGGTCTGAGCGACGGAGAGTGAGGGCTGAAACGCTGGTCAGGAACAAGCAGCAGAACAGATGTTGCTAGACTACAAGTCCCATCGTTCCTAGATAGCCTAGCTAATAGGAAGGGGTACTTGAGTACTCCTTCTCCACTAGGCGGCTTCGACAGGAAATGGGTTATCCTGTATCGTCTCAAACTAACCTACCTCTTAGGGGTAGTGTGACCATAAAACAGAGTAAAGACATAACCTTTTTTTTCACCTGTTTTAACCCATTTTTAAACTAAATTTTAGCCTATAAGTAACTTTGGGAACGGAACCACAGCACAACTTTCCTATAAAAATAGATAAATAAATATAAATTGCTCTTCAAACAGTAAAACAACAACTTGACTTGCCAAGTTTTAAAATAAAAAAGCAATGGTTTTTTAGCCTTGATACGGTACAACTCCTTAAAAAAACAATGTTTTTATATTATTGATTTCTCAGAGATCTAAAAAAATTAAT